AAGTACAATATAGACACTATCAGCGCTATTTGTGTCATTCTATGCTTGTTTATATCTGATAAACGATGAAGATAGAATGACACAAATAATGCTAATTGTAAGTAATAACATCTGCCCGAATGCATCTTTTTTTATATTATGTCTTTTATCATGGAAAATCCTATTACATATTTTAATGATACGACATAATTATTTTTAGATCTGTATTTGATCTATTTTTCATATGATTCAGCACAACTATTTTTTCCCTAATCTGGTTTTAGATTTATAATTTGTTTACTGGAGATTGCGAAGTGATCGAACGATAACATCGCACCCAGAAAATATAATCTTTAATCTCTTTATAGAGACGTCAATAAACGTCTGTATATGTGTATAAAATTCAAAGTAGTAAGTAATAGCAATAAGTAGGATTGGGTAATAACTAATTAAAACATTGAAAAAAAATTAAAAAGTTAATAACTTAACTTTTAATTTAACTTAGTTAATTTTAGCCAGTTTTAATTTGCTCGCCAGGTTTTTATCAATTTCCGTTTATATTTGAATTAGATTAATTTTAGGTGCCATAAATATTATATTTCAGCAATATAAAGATGAAATGAACCTTACATGAAAAATTGTTGTAATATAATTGCATCATTCATCCATTTTCTAAATTTTTATTTATATTTTGTGTAACAAATATCTTGTCGATGTAAACAGTGTGAGCATTTCAGAAGAAGTTAGGTTAAAGAAAGAGAGATAGTGCAAATATATACCTTTCTCTCTCGCAAACAAAAATGCCTTATACATGATTCTTATTATAAATAACTTATAATATGTGAATAAAAAATTAAATTTATCTAATAATCTATATTGTAATTATTATTTAAAGTAATCTCATTTTTTAAAAAATTGGGACATTCTGATTTCAAAACTAATTTTTTTCAAAATGAACTTTTTCTCAACTTAAGTTAATTCAATCGTAACTTAACTTTTATTAAGTTAATTTTTTGTTCCTTCAACTTTTAACTTAATTTAGTTTTTAAAAATATTAATTTACCCATGGCAATTGGTAAAATGCTTTGCTTAATGTAATTCCTGTAACTGGAAACTAACTTTTTAAGTCAATTCATTGCACTTGATTTTCAAAACTTGCTGTTTTATCTTTCTCCCATCACGTTCTTTTAACTCTTTATCGCCATGTTATTTAAAAAAAACAAGTTTTTTTATTATTTTTGTTGAAAAATGATTAAAAGAAAAATTTATATATTTACATAATTGGTATATATTAATATATAATCTTTCCGGCTAATAAAAATACCATATATAATTTCAATAAGTAAGTCAAGTAAATTTATATTCGATTATATTCTTTAGGATGTATATACCTCCCTATATTTTTTCAAAACAATCAATACCTACTCATAATCACAAATATTTCAGATAAAAAATTACATGACTTATAATATAATATCAGAAAGCAGAGTGTTTGTCTTTCACGATCTTATTTATCTTATTTAAAGAACGAGTATTGCAAATTTTGACTGCTCATTTTAAAATTAAATTCGGGATAAATTTGGAATAAATTCGGGATTTGCAAATTAATTACTTAAAAATTAAAAATGGAAATATATATAGCATTGAACACTGAAATTATATATATTATTTTTATTAGCCGGAAAGATTATATATTAATATATACCAATTATGTAAATATATCAATAAATGTTTCTCCTAATTATTTTTCAACAAAAATAATAAAAAAAACTTGTTTCTTTTAATAACATGGTGATAAAGAGTTAAAAGAACGTGGGAGAAAGATAAAAGCAAGTTTTGAAAATCAAGTGCAATGAATTGACTTAAAAAGTCAGTTAGTTTCCAGTTACAGGAATTACATTATGCAAAGCATTTTACCAATTCTGTGAAGTGGTCACGGACGCGTCTCATGGCTACCATTTTACAGGGTGAAATTTTTACGTGACGTAACGTGATGTTACCTGTGATGCTATCACTCTATAATTCATGGCGGTCGCCGTGCGCTGGGAGGCTGAATTTCGTGGCGTTTACGATTTATGATTGCACGCGCAGGTAAACTCGGGGAGCGTACGGTACCGCGACACGACGATGTATAAATTCGCGTACTAGGAGGAAGTCGGAGGTAAGCCGAAGCGCAAACATAATTTCGCATCTTGCGAGACTTTCTCTTCGTTTAACCTACCGTTTATCGCTTTATATATCACGTACTGCGTTATTCATATCTGACCTTAATAAAATAGTTTCTCACGAGATGAGTATTTTTAATTAAATGTTGAAATATATATATATATATATATATATATATACGTCATTTCGGCTGCAAGTATGAAAAAAGTTTGATTATATTCTTTAGATGTCTTACATATTTATACAAAACGATCAATAATCGAATATTTCAGATAAAAAATTGCACTCTTTAATGTAATGTGACGTGTTTGCACTTTGCGATCTTTATTACTTATATTAATTCACTTTCTTAATTAATCCTCGAGTGTTGCAAACTGTTTACTTTAAAATTAAATTCGAGAACAAAAAAGATATTCATTTCTAATATAAATTAAAAGTTTTTACGTTGGCTATATTATATTTTATAAAACAATTTTATTCTTGTAATTTCTCATATATAAATTTTCCAAATGTGTATATAGCGAAAAATGTGTATATATCGTTTTATGTTAACGATATCTTTTTGTGGCACATTATAGTTTAATACTTTAATATTTGCTAACATTATATTTTAATATTTACAAACTGTATCTCACTTGTGATACTCAAGTTGTCTTTTAGGCCGATTTAATATCGCTGCCGCCTGGCCGGAAAACCCGTTATATTATCGTAGACGACAACGACGTAAAATTAGAGAATGGCTTCGAAGGGTCTGAAAGTGATACGCCGTATGGAAACTGAGACGCTGTTGAGTGAGGCCTGAATGAACCTTGAGACACAAGCGACCGTAAACCCTTCTCTCATTTTCCGCTTCCTCGTAGGTCTTTTTCTGTCGTCTTTCTTGATCCACCGCACCGACAGATAATTCTCAGCCCTTAACGAGATACTGTGAATTTTACTCCTTGATTGCGCGAGCTGAAACAAGGGCCATCAAGACATAATAATTCACTTTGATCGTTATTTCAAAGTGTGTAAAAAATTGAAGTACACGTATAAAATCAAAAGTCTCTTTAATTAATGTTAAATTTAGAATGCAAAGGAACACATTTTGTTATTATAAATGAGAAATAATATAATAGTTAATAATGTCGCTTAAAAATCTTCTTTTGTGCCATTTAATATTCGTATTTCAAGCGTGAAACTATAAAATTTCATTATCTTCAAATCAAATCAAATGAATACGAATATGAAAATCAAATCAATTTATAATTTAATTTTGTATAGTAAAAACACATAAAACAAATTCTGTATATTGATAAATTACTTTTAATAATTACTTTTAATAATTGATAATAAATTATCAAAAAATTTGTACACGAATGAAAAGATAAAGGATTATTATTATTTTTGAAGCCGGCTGAAATTCATATTTTTATCACATCAATTCAAAAATTATTTATGATATCAAATCGAGAAATATCTTGTAGCTTTATATGCACGCAATATAAATTACTTAAATTACTTCTTCAACATACCTTCTTTCAACATCATGACAGTTTGACGAGACTGTCTGTTCATGCCGCAGCAGACACCCTCTTTCTTCCATTCCTGTTTAGCGGACAATTATCCAGTTAAATAATTATTCTGATGTTTCGTGAAGAACATGTGCTCATAGCACCAGGTCCAGTTTTTTTCTTACACTCTACATACCACATTTCGTCTCAAATTCGTGACATAGAAATACGAAGCAAAGTGGGTGGGAGGCGGTTAATTGGGTGAAAGTGATGCGAACGACCGGACGGGGAGAATTAATTAAACGATTAACTTAGGTAGCACTTAGCATAGGGTCGTCGTCGAGAGGTTAAGTTTCGAAATTGGGGACAAGCGAACCGAGGTCGGAGTTCGCGCGTTGCGCGAGAATGGCACGTAACTCTTAAACACCCACGCGGCATGCTCTTCGGGATATCGAAGCGAAAGTCGGAGCGACGCGATTGCGAGAATAAGTACCTATTATTACGATCATGTTTCAGTCATAGCAGAAAATTTGCAGAAGCGAGTGAAGCACACGATACACAACGAAATTATAATTTCAGAATCAATTTCATTGACGTTGACTAAATATAATATATAGTATATATATATATATATATATATATATATATAATATATTAAGTAAATATAATATATTAAATCCTACTTTATCATTATCAGATGTCATCTCCACAAAATGAAAACAAAAGTTTTACAATTAAATTTCAAAATTATTGTTATGTGTTTTACTTTACCAAATTTGCCATGATTTAAAAAATGAGTCAGCAACATCTTGAAGAATTAAATTATCCCTATGGATTAATTAATGCATCGCAATCCCTTGTTTATATCTGTGAGCTGGTTTAATCCCATACTACGCAGTGATAGTTCCGTAAATTAAGATTTTGGCATTCATTATTATTTGAATAAGCGATATAATAGACAACAATGGGAGAAGAAGCAAGCGTGAATAAGTCGACTTAAATTTATACAGGGTCTCAGTGCACATTGTTGTCGGTCATTAATCGACACTTCAGTAAGAGCGTAATTGGGATGAGTAAAAGCATCCGACTATGTAAATGTTCTTCGATGATAAATGTAACATATATATTTTCTGTAGAGACAGGAGGAAATGACTATTTCGACAGGTTGTTGAAATGCGTGAACATCAATAATCTTTTATGTGGTGATATCTCAAGTCACATGACATAAGATCAATTAGAAAACTCTCGATGCGAGGTTGTAATTTGATGTGGCAATATTCTTCAACGATGAAGCTAAATTTGAAAAGAAATCATTAAATTAATAAAGTTAAAAACAAATTTAATAATTTAAAAATTTCATTGTTTACAATAAGGTTTTTAATGCTGAATATTCCGAAAAAGTAAGTTTATATTTTATAATTAGTTAAAAATTCGTATGTTGATTCATGAATTTCTCGGTAGCGGATTTCACAAAGAAGCCCCTTTGCTTTCGATGGAACACATCCCCTTCAGTGTTAGATATTTCCTTTCCAACTACGTATGGTTTCCTGCACGATGCATCGAACCCCTGTACTCAAGGGTGCGGCGGTCACCCTTGTAATGGGCGTTTCAGTTTCGATCCGCATGATATAGTTAGAACAAATATGAAGCTTCTAACATTACTTGAGCAATGCATGTAATATAGCTGAAATATGTAATGATCTGAATTTATACTATTATACATTTAAATTATATATACATTTTAGTTAAATATATCAAATATGCACATTGTAATTTCTATATATCAAATATACACATTGTAATTTCATTGTAATTTTACATGTAATGTACAGTGATATTAAAAAAAACAACGAAATATCGTTTTATAGAATATGAAATTTGGGAATTTTGTTCCTCTCGAGAAAGAAAATCATTTGTTAATTGTAATAATTATTGGGTCATAAAAAGTATCCGCGGTTTTTTCATTCAAAAATTGAACAAAAAACCGCGGATACTTTTTAAATGACCTAATATTTTGAGACCATGTGCAACCATTGTTCGTAGTCATTTACCTGGATCACATTCACATCTGCATCAAAACATGTGTGGATGAAAAACGAGATAGATAATAGCGTAACGGCTGTTACTTCCGGCTGGTGGAACTTTTATTCCGCGTTTTCGTCTATGCCGATGCTGTTCCAAACGGAAATATCGGTCGTCATGGTGTAACAACTTCCTTCCTCGTTTCGTTTTTCCTCTATCAAAACGAACATGCTCGAGATTTAAAACGCTCTCATGCATAATATATGTATATTTACTACACTATAATTTTAAAGAGATGTATTCATATAATTTTTGAGATACCTATCTTATTTTTTTAGATTTATTTCGAGACGAAAGTTATTCTCTAAATTGGAGCGGAATCTCACTCTAAAGAGTGAAAATTAAGCCAGTCTTGAAAAAAAAATGACTTAATTTTCAATCTTTAAGAAAAAAAATTTCATTTTTCAAAATATTAAAAATTTTAGAGAGAATAGTTTTAACATGTAAAAAGAGGAAATGCAATTATAAATAATTTTTACATATAATTGCAGATATGTTTTATTAATGCGGTTTATCTTCTAACAAATGTGTTTATATATCTCAAATTAAAATATTAATTGTTGAAAACACCCACACACACACACACACACACATATATATATATATATATATATATATATTGCAAATTTTATAGAGTACATTTGTATCTATTATATACTTTTTAATATTACTTAGTATGTGAAAATATCGTAATATTTTAATCGATTATATAATTCACTTTTAATTCACTTCACATGACCAAAAATCGCGTTATACATTATCGATTTTTCACTGCGTGGTACAATCTCGATTCTTCCGCATACATGTACGCTGCTGAGGGACTAGAGGAGTGGAAAGGAAATGTAAATTACGTGAGTTTAGGCTCTTGTTATGTAAATCGACCTTTCGACCGCATCCGCCCAAAATAACTAGATCGAGCGACTACGAAATAACGGCGCGTGCAGACTGAATTTATAGGGAGACCGCCGAATTCTTGTCCTTCCTTGAATTATTCTTTTCTGCGAGATTATCTTTTTCTGTCGTATTTTCAAGCTTATATCCTTTCATTATTTGTTCCAACTGAGAGATAGAAACAAAGGAGTTTTGAAAATTTAAATTCTCTCATCTCGTATCTTTTCGCAAATCAGAGAAAAATAAACTTTCCATATCACAAAATATATTTATATTTATATCGATATGTGTGTTTATTTTTTTTTTCATAACAAATAGAATAATTATAAATATAGAAAGATAAAAAGAATCTCTTACATTTCTATAATCTACAAAAAAGATTTTTTTCCTTTAACATCATATTTTTAGGTTGCTAATTTGTTATTTATATAACGTTCTGTTCTACACTTTTCTTAGAAAAAGTAGAATTCCAATGAAGTTAAAAAATGTATAAAATCTCTAATCTGTATAAAAATATTCTATGGAAACAATTTCATTCAATAATATACGATAAACACAACAATCTATATACATATATCCACCGGTTTCTACCATCCGCGAGGAGTTCGCTGTGCATCCGCGCACTCTGAGAGGTACCCGAGTGTGTGGGCAAACAGGCCTAAGGCAACTGCCCACGTAGGTATACAAACGAGAGTTTGTGTTCAGAGCACGTGTGATGGACCAATCGAACAAGATATATCAACGTATATGTAGCATGGAAATGGTGTATATTGAGCCTTGCATGCGGCATACTACAGTATATCTGTCGGTTGCTTTACATGCCGACAGATCTCATCATATTAGATCATCACCTAACCAGAAAACTGGGCCACGATTAGAAAGGAAGAGCCATCGCGTCGTTCTGGCACTCAGGAATTGGGCAACAATCGAGAGCTTCTTTGGAAACCTTCACAATAACGGGGCTTCGTTCCCATATGTTAATCGTAAATTTCTTTCGTACTTTCACCATTTTTATTCATATTTTTATCCCGCAACGCGAGATAGAAAAATACAAAGTTTTCATGTTTACTTTTATATGTAATAAATTGTATTATATATTGGCTTAGTATTTTTATTCTCCTGTATAATTGAAGAGTGAAGCTTAAAACTCTTATAAAAATAAATATTTCTTATTGTACATTTATTATACTGGATATTATAATACAATTTATTGCATAATATTTCACGTACGATAATGTGGTAGTTCGCTATTAGTATTCCCAGATGGTATCCATGACCAGGATGGCGATCACATGGCATAGGAAGCAACATATCATGTTACATTAAGTCATTCAATGACGTTCGCTTTGACAGAGCTCCGTTCGCAGTTATCCCCTAGAAAAGATCGAGTTGTGGAAAGATCAAAATGGTTTCACGTGCGTACGAGTATTTCTTTCGTAAAGAAATCCTCTACTCGGCTAGACATCTGTGCCACTTTTTTCGAATCACACGTAACTATGATAATCCATGAAAGATGAGGGTTGTGGAAATCTTTATCGATCAGACCATGAGTAAGACTCTTGTAGCTTGAAAGAAAAGTGATACGTCGCTTATCGAACAACCGATATTCTATCTCTCCTTGGATATACGAATAAAGAGGAGAGATGATGATATTCATTGGTTCCGAGAAAGGAACGAATTTATTGAAAAGCAAATTTTGATAAAGACTTGGGATCGGACACCTATATTAATGATGATAACGAAGAAAACTTGTATTAGAAACGAAGAATTTAGATGTTCGAACTAAAAAACAAAAAAGAAAAATAACACTGTTAAATTGTCTCCTATTCAAGTCTAAAAATACAATTTCAAGAACTTATAAATACGTTCAAATGAATTTTAATTCATGATCGTACGACTTATTTTTGTCAAATTATGACTATTTGAATTTTAAACTTTCTGTATAATTACGCAGTTCAACAAAAAAAATCACTTTTTTTGTTGAATTGCGTAATTACATAATAAAAATCATGTTCAGCATAAAAAAAACCTTCAAGAAATGTACTGTGGTACTTTGAAAGAAAAAATGAAGATTTTTGTTAAATTGGTGTAATATTACAAAAAAAATCTAAAATTCAAACAACTTAGCTGTAACTTGGCGAAGATAAATTATATGATTATTTTGAATTAAAATTTATTTAAAAGTTTTTGAATTGTATTTCTAAATGTCCTGGACTTTATTTTTAAAAATAAGTTTCGTTTTGTTGTAAAAAAATATTAAAAATGATCAAAAATGTCATTTTTCTCCAAATGTTTTTTTTCTCCATTTCATCTCAATTTACTTAATATTTTAAATGTACTACGCAAATTCTGTCAACGGCCATGTATCAACATGGAAAAATTTTTGAGAAATGTACTATGGTATTTCAAATAGAAAATAAGTGACTTTTGTATGTGATCAAATAGTACAATAATATCAAATATAAAATGATAATAATTTAAATATCAAAATAGAATTTCGAGAAGTATACGTAATATTGATGTTAATTAGTTAGTATTATACATATGATAATATATTCTTATTATTTATATGTATACATGTACGTATGTATTATGATTATTACATGTATTATTACACGTTTTTTGTTACTTTCTTGTGAAACATGAAAAAATAAGGACATACTCGGATTTTGTCTCTTAATGTCACCCACATCTTGATACACGTATAACGTGACTGATTTATGCAAATATAATATGATAATTCTACAAGAATTTGTTCGACATCGTATATCAGTGACTTTGTACACGCTACATTCTATCATTTATCCACAAGTATAACGTGATTTACAAGAGTTGAGAATGATTAAGAGGGCGATTGTGGATATTAATACAAGCAAAGAGAAAAGATGAAGGAGAAAAAAGCCTCGTGAGCTTCAGAACATAAAAAATTGGTGACAAAGATATACAGCCAATTATGTACATTCTCTGCTATATTTAAATTCCGATAACGTACCAAGGCAATTCGCAAAGTAAATATAATTTTTTAATATAATTTAAATTTATTTGCAATATTATTCAATGTATAACAGAATTATCAATTATTCAATGTATCTATTTAATTATTCAAAATAATTACATGAATGTATCTATTTAATTATTTAAAGTTGCACTAAAAGTTTGATAAACAATTACAGAAAATTATAATACCTTTGATACGCAGGTCGCATCACATGTAAATGTTGGTGTTTAAAAATTCGGATCTAACTGAGAAAAATATTTTAATTAAATCAACAAAAACGTCCAACAAAATTGGCATTTCAGTGAGACCAAACAAAATTTCTGATTAACATAATTTGAAATTTTGATCTTATCAAAATGCTTTTTTTTTTAATTTTGGACTTTTTTGTAGGTTTAATCAAAACATTTTTCTCAGTATAAGATTATATTATATCTTATTTTTCCTAGCACTAAACTTGAGAAAAAGATGTCACAAAATAGCAAACACGCAAACATTACAGGCTTCATTGCAACTCGTATCAATCATCTATGTCTAAATCAAGCGGTAGTGATTTGCGTAGCTGCAACGAACGATGTAAGCAACGCGAACACAAGTCGCTGGATCGGAGAGAAGGGACAGTGGCCGAGGAGACGTGCTCTAGCACGACCGAGCACGAATCTCAAGACTGACGTATCGTGTATGATTCATTGTAATTGTCAACGACCGGGTCTGTCTATCCATCCATCCATGGCGTGGTCGTTTGTCCGGCGCGGCATGCAGCTTGTCTAACAGGACAATACACGTCCGATGCTCCTCTCTCATCAATACTCGCATCGCCCTGATGAGCCGCTCACCCACGCGGGAAAAAAAGCGCGATGGCTATCGATCGACGGAACTTCCTTTTCTCGACGCATCGCGCCAATTATACTGACGAATAAACAAGATGGTCAATTTTCGGACCCTAACGAGCTCCGTTTATCTGTCTATATATTGATTGATGGAGCGTCTAGATTATACGAGTGTAATTACCGTAATTGCGCGCGCCGACAATGGGAATACTGTGATAAATAGAAGTCGGTTGCGAAATGGTTAATTGAAATAAGAGAAATGGAGTAGATATAGAAATTCTTAACAGTTTAGATATCGATTAGACAATGGGGGATAATAATTATAATTATAATTTATTATTCTCTCCGAAAATGCAAATTTTTATAGCACGAAATATATAATATGCCCGACATAACATAACGATACCAGCTTTGTCCCTTATCTACGATGTCGCCAGGAAGCGACTGTCAAGCATTCTGAATGTCAGAGCAATTGGTACTAATCTCATTTGAGTTTAACTAGTAAGTGTCCTCGTCTTTTATCCCTTTGTCTGCCACGGAGATAAGTGCCATTCACGGCGCCAGTTTCATTCGCGGTATGATCGATCGACTGGATCAGGCAATGAGACCCCCCCCCCTCTCCCCCCACTTCCATTCAATATGCACACAAAACCACTCTGGTCGGTACGATGATACGTAGGCAGAATAAAGTATCGTGACGTGGCTGGTCCTTGAGTCAATACGAAGTTGAGATCTCTTAATAGTCTGTATTAAAAACTGATTGCATCCCCCGCCATTCAACTTCACTTGATTGAACAAAGTTTATATCTACATGTATAAACAGCTTCATGATTTTTTATTGAATAATTTAAAAAGCGATTTTTCTATATTTTCTTTATTATATTGTTTTAAATCATAAAAATGTCAGCAAAAGAATTTTTTTACATTATATGAATTTTTCTTACTCACAGTGATAAAAATTGAGAAGTATTGTTTCCTTCAAAAATGATAACTTAAAAAATTAAATTTTTCAGAAAAGGAAGAAACCTATTTTCAACTTAACAGAAAATTATTGATAACCAATCAAATGATTATTGACAAAAAGTTTATACTCTTAGAAACATGATCATTTTTG